AGCTTCTCCAGAAAATGAATTCACATACACTATGAATTTCCTCCTGTATACAAGAAAAAACATCAATGTAAAACACATAAAAAAAAAAAAAAAAAAAAAAAAAAAAGAATCTAATGAAACAAGAAAAATAAAACATACTTGTCTGCAAGATGATATGCATCCCAACATGGATGAAGAGTAGTAGCTGCATCATCAACACATGGTCCTTTTTCTAAATTAACCATGAAATGAAGTGCTTGTTTTTGATAGGGGCGAAGCTCACACAATAGAGTATTAGGAGGTTCCATTTCCTAAAACATAATATGAACAAGTTCAGACTCTTTGTTAAGACATAAAAGTTATTAAGATGAAATGATATTCATATTGATACCTCTAACTCAGAGCCATTTGCAACACCAACAATATTGTCCAGATCATTATCTGAAATTGTCTCTTCGGTTTCAACTGAAGTTCCATTTGAAGATGAGTTTTTGAGTTTGGGAGCATTGAGCAATGGAGGAAGAGCAACAGAAGAATCCTTTATGTCTAATCTTCGCTTCCTTGTGTATAAGTCAGTAGGTGTAAATTCTGCCTAATTACAATCAAGGACAAAAGAATGAGCATTTCCAAATTCCAACCAACGAAGGGGTATTTTGGTAAATTATGAAAATGTAATACCTTTTTGAAAGGATCTAGTCCAAGTAACCGGAATAAAGTAGGAAGAGGTTGGATGGAGGTTTCATCAACTGAACTGGTGGGTACCTTGACAGATGTCTGATGGCTTTTGTGCAATATGGAACTGTTGATGTAAACACTGTTTGAACAAATATTAACATCAAAATCAGAAAAAAGTAGGTGATTTTAGGTAATAACACCACAAAGTCACAAACATACCTGATAGACAGATTAATGGTATCCATAAGACCTAGATTATTTGGAGCAGATTTACAAAAACCTTGAATTTGAATCTTCTTATCTCTAACAAGAGGCAAAAGGCATCGAGACCATTCATTTGGGATCCGACCAATCTGCTCAAGATGAAGATGACTATCAGCTTATCAGGGACAGTTTAATTATAATTACAAAGAAATAAAGATATGTGTTCAGCGTACATCACCTCTCCGGAGGCTGATGTAGAAAACCTCACAATCTCTGAACAGGCAGAGGGCTGCCTGCCACGGCCGCCGCTACCAAACTTGGCCGGAGAGGGTCCACTCAGAGATTTCTCAGGTGGAAATGTAAAATTCAATTGATCACCGGGTTTTATCTTACTTCCTTTACATGTAGACAACCCCGCCACTTCACAACAACCCACAAACCACCACTTGCTACTTCCAGTTAGATTATTCACGATTTCGTTTCCCTTGACAACTTCACGCTCCGGCGCCACTGACCTGCTTGTACAAGGTTCGTCATCTACAGAACGACTTATTACACTATTCGTTTTGGAACTGGTAACCGGAGTTTGTGTCTTCACAGTTGCATTACGACTCGAGAGCATTGGGGTCTTTGGCTTTGGGGGTTCTGATCTTTTGAAACTTGGGGTGTCAAAGATTATGTTAATTGCGGCAGTGGCATCGTTGTTCGCCATGTGAAGAGCTCTGAGTACATCCATCTTTGAATAATCTTGGCCTACGATGGATTGAACCGTTGTGATTAATTCATCGGTGATTTTGTTCGCCATTACAATATCTTGATTGTAACTGTGGAAATTTTCCTAAACCCTAACCCTAACTGAAATAAATTGAGTAAATACGCGCCAATTGATCATAAATTTATGTGCTTCTTCTCGTGTGGCTTGTGACTTGTGTTAAAATGGGAACAAAATCGGTAGGAAGAAGAGGGTTTTAGGGCTTCATAAATCTAGGTGGATCTGATTACAAAGGAAGAGGACTTTTATCTTCGCTCGCATATTAGATATGTTTCCCGCCATTATAAATTGGCGCATTCCTTTTTTTCCTTCTCTTATTATTATTTTTTCTTTCGAAATGTGGATTTCAGAAATTGTATTAACTGGGTGTAGCTGTTATTAGTTAGTCGTTAATATTAATTCGTTGGAGAGATAAGATATATTGCTATTTAAATTCTATGGAATATATAAAATGAAGTTGATCTGCATGACTTATTACAAAGGAAAAATGTAATAAAAATTACTACCAATAATATTTTATGTGTTTTTTAAATCATAAAATTTTTACTTTCATAACCACTTCACCAACAAATTTCTTTTTTTGGTTTCATTATACCATTCCGTTCGCAACCTAAATGGACTTCACGTCACCAGTCATGTCCACATAGATAATGGTGTAATGAAACCAAAAGAAAAAATTTATCGGTCAGTTGGATACAATTAAAAATTTAGTGGTTTAAAAAAAAATAAAGTAATATTAGTTTCCACTTTATGATATTTTTTCTTTTAAACGAAAGGTTGGTCACACAAAGCTTACATATTTATAATTAAGAACCTTTTATTAGTTTGAAACTAACTTATGATTAAAAAAGAATGCTCAAATAACATTTTTTTGAAAAGCTTGTGGACTCTAAGTAATTGTGTCAAAACGTAATTTTAAAGTATCATCTGTAATCAATTCACCCACGAGTAATGTATGATACCAATGTTGGTTGATATCGATAAACTCTATTGATGTAACTTTATGGATTCTAAAAACAACCTATTATAGATGAAGGTTGTGGGTTGATTGGAGCATCATATTGTTGTTTTTGTGTATTTTATAAATGAGAATTTGCGATGGATGAAATCTTTGCTACTCTTGAACGATGAAAGAGCTACATTTCAACTTTTGTCATATATTAATGTTGCTCGTACCTTTACAAATATCTACTAAACTTTACTTGTATCCAATTATACCAATAAAAAAATTTCTTTTTGTTTCACTATAACATTGTCTACATGGACATGACTCGTGATGTGGAATCCACGTAGGTTGAGAACGTGTATCCCTGGTAAAAAAAATATACTCAACAGTATCATGAAACCAAAAAATATAAGTTTGTTTGTCTTTTTGAAACAATTAGAAGTTTAATGACTTAAAGAACAAATAAATTATTAATGGTGGCCATTTTATGACATTTAATGGTTATGTTCATTTGTATATTTATGATTAACATACCATAATTATAATTATCTTTCATATTAATTATATTTATATTAAAAATGGTTATTAGAAGAGTAAAACATATATTTTTTTAAGAGAGATAAAATGAAATTTATGTTTTATGCAACTTAGTCAAATCATTAACAAAAAATTAAATCCCAATCTTTTGGAAACTAATTGGAGTTTAGGTAATCAATGACATTCTTGAAAAAAATGTCATTTTAATTTTAGATTTACTATAACGATTCCTTTTTTGAATTACACTATACATATATGAACAGTTATTATACTAATATTCTTAAACAACTATACAACATTCTTGAAATAATACAACATAAATTACAAGTCTACAAACTAGACCTAGGAAATGTGTCATGTTGAAACAATATACAGGTTGTGAAAGCTTGACCCTAATTCGACCGCTTAATTAACGCATCGTGTTGTTTCAACCCGTTTATTTTTGTGTCAGGTTCCGAATTAGGGGTACACCTTAAAATGTGTTGTGTCATGTGAGGTTGAAACACTTAACATGTTAAAAGTGTATTCAAAATGTAGGAGTTCGTAGGTGGAAAGGAAAAAAGTTATAGTTGGGAGAGGCGGAATGGTTAAAATCATAGTAAGTTTAGAAGGCAAAATGGAAAGAGTATGAGTTGGGGGCGAAAGCGGTGGGTGGGATCATGAGGAAGAGGGAGTGGTCGAGAGGACTGTTCAGTTTGGAAGAGACAAATAATTGAAATGATATCTTGATCTAGACGGTTAAGTCTTTTCAACATTACACAACGACTCAATCCAAAGGTTTTCTTTTATATATGATTTTGTTTTGGGTCTTTCTAGTTTATTTAAATATTCAAAAAACATGCATATAAATAAACGAGTCATTATCAAGTCATATTTGAGTTAAAATTTTCAATACTAACCTTACCTATTTAATTGACGTGTTGTGTCGTGTCAACTTGTTTATTTATGTCGTGTCAACTTATTTATTTAGACGGTTTGAAATATTTTATCCAACCTCCTTTATTTTGTGTTGGATTAACGTGTGGTGCTAGTTTTTGTCACCTCTAGTACAAAACTGACATTCAATGAATTGGGAAATAGAAATTACGAAAACATAAAAATACAAGTGTAAATCTGACATTAGATTAAAAATAAATTACAACTATAAATGTTATTCTCATGAAAATGATTATAAGTAACAAATACAAAGCTGAAATTCTCTTGAAAATGAAAAAATTAGAAAAGAAAAAACATAAATTAAAAGCACAGTTCTAATATCATTCTTGATTTATTTATTTTTTTGAAAGAAAATGTTGTCATTGTTAAAAGAACACATTATAATCATTGTTGACCTAAGTTGCATCCTCAAAGAAAATCGATACAACCAGCTATTCCTATTCTTTCTGCATATGCATCAAACACCAATTCAAAAACTTTGATACCTTCTTTTTTGTATCGGTCGTAAGGATCAAGAAATCTAAGACCCATCAACTTCTTATTGATTCGACTTTCGAGTTTCAAGCATGACTCAGAAAAAGAATGTAAATGGTTGAACATCGGTTTGTCTCTTGTTACACAGACACATTATCTCCAAAAGATATTGAAGAGCATGGCTCAATTTCCGCTTCTCTATTGAAGAATCCTTTATATTGAACGTACACTTAATTTTTGTGTCAATAGGTTGTGAACTTATGCATGGTGTTTAAAGAAAATGACACATTTATTCTGTCATGCAAACAAAAATTATCAAGACATAATTTTAAGAAACAGTAATGATCAAAGTACCTTGATTGGAAATGAAAATCTGTGATCTAGATGAAAGATTTTCCAAAAAAATCCAAGTTTAACTTTTTGAAACCCTAGAAGACAAGAAATTTAGGATATCACATGAACATGATAACATGCAAGTTTATGAGACAACCAAATATTTCTATGCATTAACAACAACCAAATGCAATAATAATGTTACAATCATATTCAAAGTTCAGCCTTCACAAATTCTATCAAAACAAACGTCCAAAAACTAGTTGAAAAAAAAAAATCTATAAACAAATAAACCCTCACCAAAAATGAGAAAAACATGACCTAATAATAACACAACCTCATTGTTTTTTTATAATAATAAGAAAAAAGAAAACCCAACACAATACCCTCATCAAACCCAACTCTAATCCTACGCCTCTCATTTAACCCCGCCAGCTCATTCCCGTATCAATGCATTCCTTCACCACTTGTTGGAAGATAAGGGCAAAGGCGTAAATGTATATTATATATATCCATTTTACAATTTTTTCATCTTTTTTAAAGCAAACCAGCAAGCAAAGCCCCTGGATCTGACGTGGCAATTGGTGGTGGCTGAGGTTGCTGAGGTGGCAATGGCTTGGCGGGTGTAGGAATGTTAACTAAATGTTCCTTGATGAATTCCTTCAACCTGTGTATACAAATAGTCAAACCATATCCAAATTGGTTCATGTATTTATATATGAAAATTAAAAAATATATAAAAAATAATAAACTTACTCGAATGTCAGTGTGGGGTCCGCTGATGCAACTGTCATGCGGAGCTGTGTTCTGTCAGCTGGATCTGTTTCTATTCTGACCAGACATAACATTGCGCGTGTACTTTCTGAATAGAAGGTTGTGCTTGCTACTAAATTAAACGCATTTGGATCCTGAAAATAATATGCAAAAAATTGTTTAGGGTTAAAAAAATAAATGAAAATACATTGCTATTGTAGATAATAAATCATATAAAAAACTTACCAGTCCAGGACAAACCATCAATCTCAAAGTGTTGAACAAATTTGCCATTTCTCCTAATGGCATTGGTCTCACACCTCTTACCTGTATAAATTATGATGGAACTTGGAAGTTAATACTTTAATATAATATATAATATAACAATTCCACAAAATTTAATAATGTAAAGACTAAAGAGGAAGGAGGGGTAAAATGGACAAACCACTTCTTGAAGTTTTAAAGGAGGTCCAGATAGTGATCTCCATTGAGGGAAAAATTCCTCAGCGGTAACTTGAATAGGAGTGAAAAATTTGTTCAACACTGCTGGAAGCCGAAGTCTATTATTAACCTGTAAAACCGAAAACAAATTAAATATTTAAACAGTAAAAAAAAAAAAAAAATTAAATACCACTACAGCTATAAGAAATACCAATTGGGTTCCAAACTTGTAGGAGAAGTCAAGAACAGCAACATCCCTACTAGGTCGGAGGTTTACAATTTCAAGTGGGCATTGGACCTATAAATAATTTCAAAAAATAAAAACAAGTTAATAAAATATTTAAATTCAAAAAAAAATAAAAAGTAAGAAATAATCTGACCTGTGCACGTGGAGGTATAATTTCTGGGACTAATGATATCTCCACCCTTAAATGTGATGGAGGTAAAACCACTGCTTGTACTGAATCAAGTGGGCCCGTATTTTTGTTTCCCAAAAAAAGTACAAGTCGACCCTGGTGATTTCTCCATTCTGCTTTAATACCAATCTGCAATAACAATATTAAAAATATTAATTATTAATTATCTTAAATTCATTGTTGTATTGTATCATAAAAAAGAAACAATATAAATTACCTGAATGTAAGGATCTTCGTATAGAACCCCACTATCTTTGAGACATAAAGCATGAAATCTTTCTGCAATATCTCCTATTGGCTGTGAAAGATTAATAAAAAATAATAAGATAAATGATAATTAAAAATTAAAAATAAATAAAGATTTTTTTTTTTAAAAAAAAAGGAGAAAGAGACAGAACCTTGACAGTAGATTCCTGGTCTTCAATAGGTGCAAGGGCTAAAGCGTCATTTGAACCAACATCATGGACTGATCGAGACTCGTCAATAGCCAGTGGGCTTAAAAGATCTCCAAGGATATCACCAGAGGGCTGAGGGTCAACAACGGTCAAAGCCCCGTTTGACTCGGTCAACGGTTGGTCAACGGGGGGAGTATGATCCTGAAATATATATACATACCAATTATCAAACTATAAACTAGAGTTAAAAACTTAAAATTAGAATTTTATCCAGTGTGTAGGACCCTCACCGTATCATTTGTGGTAGGGATCATAACCATAGCGAGTTGACTCGCTTGTGGGGCCCCATTTGAAGGGCGCTGATCTGTCACCACTAAAGCAGTAGACGCCTGTTGCTGTGTTCTCAGCTTTATAGCACTTAGCTCTGCTGTGTCAGCATCTGTATCTTCCGCTTTTTTAATCAACGAAGACTTCATAACACAAAATTTTAATTTTAAATTAAAAAAAAAAAAATGATGAGAGATTTATTTATGTGAAGAAATCCAGATAATAAAAATATACCTGGCGTTCTGGGAATTTGGGCATTTCAGCTAATATATCCATTAAAGCTTCACCTTTCCTACTCAATGCAAAATACTCCACTGCTCTTTGTTGTATCTCAGCATCAATGCAACTTTCATATCTAAGATAAAAACAAATTTGTGGTTAAAAAATATGAATTTGTGAATCAATAATGAAATGACATTAGATATTCAAATGTAAACAGACTTGCTGTAAACTGCCCAGATTTGATTCTGTAATTCGGGATCTGGTGGTTGTGAGTGCATTAAAATCTTTGCGTATGTTGTTAGAAGGATAGAGATTGTAGGTGTCCTGAAAAAAATAACAAATGATTAATTATATATTAAATAACAAACACAAGGGCAAAAGCGTAAATAACCATGTGTACGTACGATACAGTAGGAAGCTTCTCATGTATGAGGCTGAAAATTTCCTTTGGACTACAACCAGGGCGTCTTGCCAAAAGGTGGCTGTATTCCCCAAGAAGATAAGCACTCACCTGTTCATTTCAAAAAATTAAAATATTTAAAATATAAAATCTTATTTTTAAAAAGTTAAGGAGTTATAAAATGAGAGTTCACACACACACACACACCTTCACCATTGTCTCATGTATGGCAGGTTTATCAAGATACTCTCTGGCTTTTAATGCTGCATAAGGCTAATGAATTATACGATAAGAGAGAGTTTTAAAACTTATAAATGATTTTATTTGTATAAATAAAGTAAGGTATATATAATATATAAAGGTACCTGAAGGTCTTCATTGTTTGTGACAAATTGCACAACACGAAACCAAATGTCATCACTGACAAAATCACCTGCTTTGTCGATCAACTGAAGTATAACATCCACATACCTGAAAGAAAAACGATGGAATTTACAGTTATACCCTTGGATGTGAGGGTATGAAACTATTAATTATTTAATTAATTACATACCATGATAAATCAGGGGCAAATTTTTCAGCAAGGATAGCAGCTTTTAAGGCTAATTCTTCACGCATTGCAAAGTCTGCTGTTGCAAGATACTAAAAAAAAAGTACATGTGTCAGTGGCAGTGGCAGTGGCATACACAAATTTACAATTATGCCCTTGAAATTGCATACCTGCAATAATTCTTCAACAATGTCTTTAGCGTTTGTGACATCACACATGCCATAAAGCAAATCAAGGGAACGTCTCCTGATACTGTATTTGGGAGATACGAATATATGATTAACAAAATGTAAAATAATTTAAAAAGATGATAATGTATTAAAAAGAATTAAGTATGATGACCTAATGTCAGGATCTTTAAGTGAAGTGATAATTTGTGCTTGATGTCTTTTAATGATCTCATGAACATCTGTAACCATCAACATTCGAGTCATATTCTCCTGCATAAGCCATTTTTATTAACATCAGATTCAACAATAAAGATAAAACATTATATACTGCAAGTCTTCAAGGGCAAAAAGGGAAAAAAGATTGTAACTTACCAGACCTAAATACCGGATATTAGGTTCACGCACAGCTATGAATTTTCCAAGAAGAGCCACACATTGTGACATCATCTCTTTCTCAGAGTCAAGATGCATGACCTGTATTAGTCCCAAATTGTTTGTTAGATTTGATAATGACAACTTTTAATAAATTGTGTTACTCCAAATCTGTTTGTTAATTTGATGATGAAAACTTGTATAAACTTACAAGAGCAAGAGCTTCAAATAACACAGCATGAGAAGCATTGTTCTTGTTGACATTTTTCACCACATCTGTTCCCATGAGTATCCGTTGTAAAACCTAACCACAATTAATAAGCTTTATATCAGTGTTTTTTATGTAAAGAGAGAGGATTTTTTGATTTTTTTTAATAAAATATATAACCTCAAAGAGTGCTCTTCTTGTGGTTGGATCTTCAACAGTTGGGAAATACTGAAGGGCTCTCATTGTTTTGACTTGAAGCCATGGAGAAGGGATACCATAGTATGTGTATTCTTGAGGAACATCTTGATTTCTAGCAAGTCTTTCTAAAATTTTAACACATTTTGGAAGACAACTTGAGTATGCTTCATGATTGTTGGCTACTAAAGCAACAAAAAGACTCATTGATGATGTTAATACACCAAGATCACGTTCATCTAATAGCTGTGCCATTCTATCTGACCTGAAAGTTTGACCGAATAATAAAAAGTCAAAGGTGAAGATTAAAAAAAATTAAAGGGAAATAGTAAAATGTAAAGGTGGAAACAAACATACCAGCCATCTACATTCACAACATCAGAATTTTTCCTGAAAAGTCTTAATAGACATAGTGCAGCTTTCTTTCTCACTAGTGGTCTGCAACTACTTGAAAGCTGAGGTAAACAAAGTAAGTATAAAGTAGCAATTGAAATTATAATTGAAAAACAATTAAATTATATTCCATGTGTAGTTTTGAACTTACAAGCAACTTCTGAACATCAGGTGCTAGTGATTCAGCAAATTCTCTGCCACCAATATTCCCCACCTGTATATTAACTAGTTATTATTTATCGAGTTGATAAGGATTACCATTGTTTGTTGTTATTTGCCATAAAACCTTTAAATTCACAATCAAGAAACCAAATATATTAATCACTTTCATTATTAAAAGTAAGTGTAATGTATCTAATGTTTACAGTATTAACTAAGCCTCAAACAATTCTCAAAAATCTAATAACAGCATTATGTCTCAATAGGTCAAGTGGAAACTGCTGTGAACATCACTGACATTCTTATGTATATAGATAGCTAAAGGGCATCAAAGTAAGTTTATGTTTACCTGTGAACATTAAAAAGCAAGAAATAATAAAAGCCACCTGCTCACATAACAAAATAGACACTACAAAATCATGATTTTGCTAATAATATTATATACATACCAGTGTCAATGCAAGGCACTGAAAAGTTTCATTGCGTCCGATAATATCATTGCGAACTGCATTAATTGCTAATCTTAAAAAATCATGATTCTCATTGAGCAAGCATGATGTCACTATATACCCAACCTGAGGGAATCATGTCATAGAAAGAAGTTAAATGAGTAGAAGAAGAAGGAAGATCTAGAAGACTTCATAGCAGATCATGTGAACTAAGATATTTACACTGAACTTACTTGCTTTTCTGGATATTTGGGTGCAGATATTAGGGAAACAGCTTCCATGTGACCAAAATCTACATCATATCCTAGCATATATATGTAGAGCATCTTCCAAACATATTTCTTCTTTTCATATGGCGATAAACCCTGTGATGAATCATGAATGTAACAAGTTATACAGATATTACATTGCAGCACTAATCCCTATCCTAGTCTCATCTACAAGACTACAAGTTTATCTGCTCTCTTGGTTTGGTGTTTCCTTGTTGAATTTAAGAATTATCCATCTCTGAGTTAACTAAAAGTTATTTTCATCGGCAATTCAGCTCACCAGCATAAACTATAGCAATCCTCTCGAATCCATAAATCGGCACAACTGACAGACTAAACCTAATCTGAAAATTCACTTGGCGTGGAATTAAATCTAATTACGCATTCACAAACCTATGTGCAGCTAAAACGCAACTGTGTGTACATTAAAATTGGCACTTTTGACGAATAATAAAGTATATCATAGTCGAGAAAGCTTATAATACCCGATGAGGAAACCCTAACTAACCTTTTCATTTTTAAAACGAGTACGGATATTGCCCAGCTCTTTATCAACGCGAAGTCGTTCCTGCTCTTTGTTCCGGCAATTACGCACGTCAGAGATGAAGACAGAGAGACCTCGCATACCTGACAACGACATCTTCACCCTGCTCCGATCAGTTCCAACTCAGAGGCGTTTCTCACTTTAGATCCTAATCCAAAATCACCAACTCCGAGACGACACAGCGATCGTTTGACGGCGAATTTCACATATAGCTAGCAATCCATGTGCAATCGAAGTAAAAACATGAAGATTTACGAAGGAAAAGGTGTGATCTGGAGAGAGAGAAAGATGGTGGAGGAGAAGAGGGAGAAGGTGGACTGAGGAGAGTTTTGGAATAGCCGTCGGCGGGTGAGAATGAGAAGACGACTTTTTCTAGTTTTCTTTTTTTATTCTTTGTTGTTAAATTTTTATTTAATGAGTATTTGAGTATCATTATTACATATGCTTCTCCAGCTGTGTGATGTTCTCCTTCTGTCATTATTATTTTTGTAATTATGGAGGGTTTTTTTTTTTTTTTTTCATGTGAAAGATAAATTATCGGTAAAATGAATTGGTTTTAGATTTAAATGATATAATTTTGCAAATTATTCATTTACGGTATCAATTTATGATAAGATGTAAGACTGGTTTACCTTTTAAAAAGTTATTTGATAAAAAAAAATTTCTAGATAGAAATTAATTTATATATATTTAAAGAATGTTCAAGAAAATGACATGTTTATATGGTGTTTATTATGATTAGTCCAAAATTGATTTCATTTTGTAAATAGATAGACTGGATTGTGGAATGGGTCTAGTATGAATTGTTTGGGTGGAAATCGATCAAATTGAAAATTAATATGGTGCCCAAAACAATCAAGTGGATCGTATTGACTCTTGAGGTTATGCATGGTTGCTTTGTACGAACTCAAAAGGATGATAGTTGTTATGTTCATTCGATGTATGCAGCACAACCTCTTCTCGTGCATATGGCTAGCACAACCTCTTCTCGTGCATATGGCTAGTGTATGAAACACAATGGGATGGTAGAGATTATGTTCCTTCAATGTAAGAAACACAACCTTTTTATGGTGCATTTGGAAATTATATATGAAACGTAATTGAATGGTAGTCAGTATGTTCCTCTAATGTACGGAAAATGATCTCTTACGCATTGTTTCCAAGTTATAGTTAAAGAGAGAAATGGATGGATATGGAGGGAATGTGAGGGATATCGAAGGAAACTCGTGTTCCCGAGTTTAATTGATGGAACGAAAGTGACGGGAAGGAAGGGATTTTGGAGATTGATTACGGGAAAAATTGGAACGTATCGTGCCTTATCTTAGGGGGTGTTTGTTTTATCTTTTTTAACCAACTTTTAGACTTTATCTTTTCCAAAAAGTTAAAATGGGGTAAAAGATGTTTGGTAAATGTAAAAGATCTTTTAAAACTAACTTTTCATAAAGAAAGATTAGAAACATTTGGAAAAGTCACGTATCCGTGATTTTTTGGAACTTTTGAAGCCTTCACACTTAAATGACTCATATACCCCAACTACCACTACCCTAATCAATGCGTTCTTCTCTTCTCGTTCTTTTCTTTTCTTCTCATTCTTGTCCGCTCCACCTCGTTCTTCTCGCTGTCGTTCATCATCGACCTCCCAGTCGTTGTCGATCCCTCCAAAGTTGTCGACGATCCTCCACCAAGCCGGCGATATTCTCTGCCATCGTCTCCTTTCCCCCAACTACCACTACCCTAATCAATACGTTCTTCTCTTCTCGTTCTTTTCTTTTCTTCTCATTCTTGTCCGCTCCACCTCGTTCTTCTCGTTGTCGTTCATCATCGACCTCCCAGTCGTTGTCGATCCCTCCAAAGCTGTCGACGATCCTCCACCAAGCCGGCGATATTCTCTGCCATCGTCTCCTTTCCCCCTCTCCGACCAGGTAAGTGCAAACTCCGATTTTGGTTTTGTTTTTGTCTTGATTTTCAATTTTCATTAGCAAAGAAACTGTGAACCTTCGTTTTTCCTTGCATTGTATGTGGGTTTGTTCCTTTGATTTCGATTTTCCTAACATTATATGTGATTTGTTCCTTCAATTTGTTCCTTGCATGGATGAGTCACTGTTAACAGTTTTTATTGTTAATAGTTAGTTAATCCAATTGTGAAATTGATGATAATTATTAGTGAAATTCATGAAATATGGATGATATTGATTAAAGTGATGAAATTTTTTGTTCCCAGGGACCAATTTGTGTTGTTAACAGGTAACCATTTGTGAAAATTATTCCAATTTCTTTATTCTGGTTTGTGTTGTTTTCTTCTATTGTTGTTCTAATTTTTCTGTTTTAATTAAACTATAGCTCATGAATTGTATAAAATATTGATTAGCAATTGTTTAAATTGATAAAATCATTTAGGAAGGTTAATGAAATTGGTTTGTTGTTTAAATGTTGATATGAAATTCACAGATAATTGACGAAAACCTCACCACTGTTGTTGACTATGAAACATCTTTAAAAATGAAAAAACCAAAATTCGGATGGGATAATCGTAGCTTCATGGTGTTTGTTGATTCATGTGTAATTGAAGTAAGAAAAGGCAATAAAACCGGTACTCACTTAACTAAAGTTGGGTGGGAGAATATACAAAAACACATGAAGGACAAAACAGATTATATTCTTGAAAAAAACAACTAACAAACAAATGAGAGAATATGAAAAATAGTGGAAGCTTTATGACTGATTAATGAGGCTTGAAACCGGACTCGGTGGGACGAGAAGCCTAATAGATGCATCGCCCGAGTGGTGGGAGGAGAAAATAAAGGTATGATTTAATATTCTTTGTAGTTATTTTAAGTTATGATTGCATATATATTGCATATAGATTGAGCATATTTGATTTACATTATCTTTTTGTCTTGCAGGAGAATAAAGATTATGCAAAATTTAGGAACGCAGATTTGAGCATATTTGATGAGAAATATGCTCTTTTGTTTCGGGATTCTGTTGCCGTTGGAGATCAGACTATGACTCCGTTACAGTTTCAAACCAATAGCAATCCAAACGGAGAAAATCTGGAGGGCAAAGGAGATAGTGATGATATCAATTTAGATGATGATGTTGAGCCGCTTTTTCCTAGTTTCCATGAAAGTAGTTCGAGTAAGAAGAAAATGTCTAAGCTTGTTTCTAACAACCGTTCAACCAGGAGTAAAAGTTCAGTTTTTGAAGAAAAAGTAGATGTTTTATTGGATGTCATATCAACAAAAAGCACGCAAACTTCTCCACAAAATAATCCTTCGCCAACAATAGCAGATTGCATGGCCATTGTTACCAAGTTTCCCGATTTTCGTGAAGGGTCCAACGAATTTTCACAAGCATTGTTTGTGTTCACCAAAAAGCAAAATTGTGAAGTTTTTATGTTTCCAACGACGGAGGAAGCCAAGATGGGGTTCCTTAAGTTACTTATGAAATAATGATTTAGCAATATGTGTTATGCTTTGACATTATGTTTTATGCTTTGATAATATGTATTATGTTTAATGTTTTAACATTATGTGTTGTCCTTTGACATTATGTATTTGACATTTTATATTATGTGTTATTGTTTGTCTTTATGTTATGTGTTATTGTTTGACATATTTTTTATTTGTATTATGTAGGATGGATAGTGATGACTCTAATTCTTCTAATGATAATGAAGAATGGTGGGTGGAAGAGGATAGAGAATTTAAAATATTATGTAGATTAGCTTTAAAATGGATAATACTAGCTCGTAACGTACGTATGCCATGTCACACTTCAAACCGCACATGGCACATGTTTATTTATCAAGTACTAAATGGACATCCTAGACGGTGTTATGAGATGTTTAGATTGCATGTACCGGTTTTTAGACAGTTATGTGCAGATTTTGCTACAAATTACGGGCTACAACAAACACAAAATATATCTATTGAGGATCTGTAGGAGTATTCTTGACGACGTTGGCTCATGGGTGTAGCAATAGATTTGTGCAAGAGTTTTTTAATCATTCGGGGGAAACAATTCATAGGCATTTCCATACAGTTTTGGAAGTCGTGCTAAAACTGAGTGTCGACATCATCAAGCCAGACGCAAACTATAATGATGATGTTCTTGAATATATGTTAAATAACCCTTGGTATTATCCAATGTTCAAGGTATTATCTAATGTTCATTTTCTTAGTAGTCAAACTTTAACAAATGATTTATTTATGATATATTTTTGTATTTGAAGGATTGCATTGGTGTTATAGATGGGACACACGTTAGGGCATCAGTTCCACAAAACGAGGATGTGAAGTACATTAGTCGAAAGGGATATGCAACACAAAATATAATGGTTGTTTGTGATTTAACATGTGTTTTACATTTGTATGGGCCGGTTGGGAGGGGACTGCACATGACACAAGAATTTTTATGAGTAGTTGAATCTAGCTGCTTCTATTTAGCTAGATGAAGATTCAACTCTATGGACCAGTCTATTGAATTATGGATTTTAATTGTTGATTGTGAGCTTGTGTTTGATTATCTTTAAATAGAATGTTAATATTTGTTGCTTTTATTTCTTGAATTCAGGTTCTATGTAGCTTAGTGAACATTAAATTACATGAACTTGTTACCTAGTAGTTTAGTGACCGTTAAATTACTAGAGCTAGTATCGAGTCAATCTTAGATAAGTGATAAAAGTAACAAATTTAGATGCACTAGAGAACATAAAATTGTGACTACAACTGTCTTTATTGGATCAATCTTACATAGCTTACCTACATTTTATAACTGATTCTGTTTTTGCTAGTGTATGACCATACTTAGTTTTACATGAATTAGTAAAAATATTAGTAAATTTAGACTTGAATTGCTAATAAATAATAATTAATAACCAACATTAACAATCCATAATCGGTAGCTAACCATAGAGGATAAGTGGATTCGAACTAAATAGAAGTTTTTTTAGTAATTGATTGAACTGTTAGTTAAGTGACTAAGTTGTCTGAAATTGCAAAATTATACAAAAACCAATTAAACTTTTGCTTTGTTTTAGATAAACTTTTAGTAGTTAAATTAGTTAATTAAATTTGTTCCCTGTGATTGATAATTGTTTATTGAGCTATACTATTTTTAACAAGGTAAAGTGCCTTAGGTAATAATTAGTTTCATTTGTAGAATAAATTAGTGCATAAATGATTAAGTATTTTGCGTATCATCTGTTATTACCGAAACAATGGTAACGACATATATGAATAAAACGGAATCAATTATTAGCGCCTTGGCAACCTTATGACTTTCCCTGATCCAAGTGTGAGTAATGTGCTTCTGGTAGTATAGGTCTCTACTACCTTTCACACATACTCATACTCATCACAAGTATTGTCTCGCAATTCTCCAAGTCACCATA